ACCTCCCGGACATGGTGGGTGGCCCTCGAGACATTGAAGGAAATGGAAGACTGCTTGAAGAAGTTGGACAGTGGAGTGGCTCGCAAACGACGCAATTGGGCCACCCAGCAAAAGGCTGAGGTTAACAAGATAGAATTGGCAAATCAGCTGAAGAGGTCCTGGCAGAACTTGTTGAAGGATCATTTCGAAGAGGCAATGAGGACATCCTCATCAGCACTGCCATTGATGGCGAATCCCTTCGTTAGAACCGCAGGACATTTGATGTTCACCTGGAGTCTGGTGGGAATAGAGTTGGAGACATTGACCTCGTATGACAGGCTGAAGTTGGGAGGCAAGAAGCTAGATGTGTATCAAGCACTGATGCAACACGTGGCCAGGGATAATTCAGGCTTGAGCCTGGCTAGGAGGAAGGATGCCACATGTTTCTTGTGATGGATAATGTCAATGATGTCTGACAGCACCATCTTGGCATGCCACCAAAGAGCAAGCGGAAGTAAAACCGTGGAAAAAAGAGTCTCAAAGATCATCTTAAACGTGTATCAGAGTACTGGTATAGAAAAAGAAGATGGTTCCAGACTATCCCTAGAGAACCACAGAAAGGTAGACGAGGTACGGAGGTTTTATAACAAGAAGTTCGAAGAAGAACAAGATGTTCACCGTAACCTGGCCTCGTCAGAGCAGTACTCGAGACTCAGCGAGAAGGGGGAATACCAATACGTGTCAGGAGTGATGGGAATAGCCTACAACCCCTTCTTAGACTCAGAAACTGGAGGCGCTCACAGGAACCACGAGGTAGCGGAGCTACTGAAGTTTTGGACAGAAAGAATAGTGGAAATAGACGCGGTGGAGAAAGAGAGGCCGAGCCTGGGCCTGATTCTTGAGAAAACACCAGAGGTGGTGAGCATACCGCGCTCGAACAAGAGAGTTGAAGTGAACGTGGGTGATGGCAATGGCTTGTTGATCACGAACTTGGGAGTGATATGGAAGTTACTAAGACCCTCCTGGTGTCCACATCCCCACGCGAGTCTGATCGAGGAAACCACCGAGCGAGTGAGGTTAGCCCCAACGGAAGATGAAGATTTGGCAAAGTTGAGTGTGGTGCACAAACTAATCTTACCTCAGATGCAGGAGTCAGGAGAAAAAACGAACAATCTCGGGTCAGCAAAGAAGATGGAGCCGGGCAGCTGTCTGGATTCGACATGTGGGAATGGAGAGCACACCTGCGATGGACGATCATGTGTCAGGATACTGTCCTTTCAAAAAGAAGATCTGGTTACTTGGTTCGAAGACATCACGGAAAGGGAGAAAAGTGAAGTGCAAATAGTTGCTGAGTGTTCCGCGAGAACTACGGTGAATATAGCGACAGCTCTCGGATTCTTCTCGAGAATGTGTAGCCTGCAGTCACTGGAGAGGCTAGAGTCTGAACACCATTTAGTGACGGCGTTGAGCGTAGAATCATGGCCTGGGGTGTTGCAGGTGACTCAAAAACACATCCGGAGCTGGAAGGTTGGTCTCGAGGCGGAAATGGGGTTTCCCATGAGCGAAGCTTATGGCCTGCCATTGAACGCAAAATCCCTGATAGGGTCAATGATGGCCAACTTGTGCGGAAGCCACTACCCACTGCACATGACGATGGTGGAAGCATCCAGCCAGAGAGTATAGGTGGACAAGGCCTTCTCAGTGCCCAAGTGTGTGAGGTTGGCTCGGGTATCGCATCACTCGCACAAGTTGTTGAGGAAAATCAGAGGGACAGTACCGAAAGGGTTGAGAGATGACTTGAGTGAAATCTGGGGAGAAGAGCTTTTGAAGTTGGAAAGCGAGAACACAAGCGATCACGAGAGACAAAACGTGATCGGAAAACCTGTGGGGGTGCTCCAAACATGGAAGAGAACGACACGATGCATGAGAAAATGATGGAGCTTGAGCCTCTCTTGGAAGCCTCGGGAGAGCGTAACCTCAGGAGCATTGAGATCACCCATGGAGAATGCCCATGCCACTGTTTGGCACAAACGGTGTGGTATCCAGATCACAAGAACCTTTGCCTGGTGTGGGATATAGAAGAAATTCGGTCGATCGGACTACCGGATCACCGGCAGAAGGTGACGCCCTTAGTAGTGAGTACGATGCTGGCTCTGAGATGGATAGAAGAGAATATAACGAAGTATCGGGAAGCGACAACACCAACGGCTGAATCAATATATGCGATAGACTACACTAGGAGACTCGAGTTGTTTGAGACTGCGTGCAAAGTATTCGCCATACCAACGGAAGTCAGACACGTATGGAGCCGTTTGAGGTACTTTCCATGGTTTCGGGTGGCGCTGACGTCTTGGTTGTACATGATGACGAAAGAGCACATGAGAAAGCATCAAAAGGAGTATCGACAGTTCCAGGCCGAGATTGGGCCGGAAGCTTTCAAGAGACCCCTGTTAACCCATCGAAATGCGATCACGACAGGATGGAAGAGAGTGGGTAAAATGTCTAGAGATAATACCAAAGCGAGGGAATCAATACTAGAGGAAGACTTGGCGAAGAACGTGAGCTTGAGCCTGCACAACTCCTTTTGTTTGAACCGGGAATCTAGGGTGAAGGCACTACCCAACCAGGCAAAGAGGTTGCAGGAGCAAAGAGAATGGATGCGATCCTATGAACAGCTGAAGGCTTGGGAGGAGATCGTGATTAGCTCCGATGATGAAGAAGAACTGTTGAGACAGTTTGCCGTGTCTAGTACTTCAGGGAGCGGTACCTCCAAGGCGAAGAGTGCGAAATGAGCGGATGGTTCGAATGGATCTTGAGTCTTGATAGGGAAGGGGGGCTTGAGTGTGGATCCGGGTGAAACCTGGGTTCACGAAAAAGAAATTTTAACGAAACAGATATTGTTATTAATATGCTATATCTATTATATAAATCAAAATGCTGCATGATAATTTCCTAATTGAATGGGACAGAAGAAATTTTAAATAATTGACTTGAAAAGCGAAAATTGGTGCAGGTGTGTGCAGATTTTGATTGCTGTTTAGCGATAGTGTGAAAATTTTACATGGCTGTGAATTTTGGGGTGTAGATAAGCTTACGTCTGCTGCAAACTTCTGTAAATGACCACTGGCACTGTACCTTGAGCAACACTCGGTTTTTTGTTTGGGACTCACTGGCAGACGACAGCACGCGATGAGGACATCGATCTTGAGTCCGGGGAGTATGTGCCAGTCGGTCATATTTGGAAGTTTGACCTTGAGAAATTTTGGGGTGAAATTTAATTTTTCAAAAATTCGAATGGAGCCTGTCATGCACGATTTTCTCGCGATAACTGAAAACCGAAAAAAAGAAGTCAGAACAATCGAGTAACAATCGCGGGAAAGTTGCTAGATAAAACGGTGGGAAATTGCTATTCGCAATTTCTGTCACAATAGAACAAGAGTAGAGCTGTCCCATCTGAAACAGAGACAAGCGTATTCCCGAGAACTGGATTGTCATTACTCGATTGGATTATTACTTGAACTGGACTAGAGTGAACCTTCGGTGGAAAGGTGGACAGCTTGAGTGTCCCAATGGTTCACGAGAAACCACATTATAGAGTTGAAACTTGTCCTTGTCATTGAAACTGATAAACATTAAAACTCATTTAGTTACATTATTTAATTCTCGAGTTGATTACCGACTGAAGTACTTCCCTTTCTTGAGCGTGCTACCATGTGAGTACTTAATTTAAATTTCTAGAGTGTGTTTTATGATTGTTATGTTGAGGTAAGGCGAGTTTTAGGTTGATCCATCTGAAATGGATCAAAGTTCCACTGTCTAATAAAAAGTAACTTAACGGATTGTTCCGACCCGGTTTTTAACGGCGTTCATGTATTTTGGGTATTTAGAGACCTAAGTATGGGGACGTTCTTAATTCTAGAGTGGGGTGATATTTTAGTAGTAGCCTTTAAGCTGTAAC